ATTCCTGTGTTTAATCTGGCTGACAATTTGAAAGCGCAGCAGCTGCTGGAGAGTTAACTCTGCTGGGAGCTGCGAGTTCTTGAAGCCTGCTCCATTATATAGTCCCAGCTGGGCAGCCAGGGAGTGTCAGGGATTTTCGGTTTGGTGACACTCTGAAAGCCTGCTCACTCTGGCTATTTTCACTTAGAGCCATCACAGGCTTGTGCTTTAACCATCCCCCTCTTTCCAACTGCTGGCTTGGCTCATCTGGTTTTAATTTGTGTTTAGCATGGGTGGCCAGCTGGGGGATGCAGGAGGAACACCACACTGCTGGGATGCCGGTAGGGGCTGAAGGTGTGCATCCTTCTCTGAGGTGGGATGGTGCAAGGAGGTCCCTTCAGACTACATCTGGTCTGGTCTGGTCCCGGATGAGCAGGCAGCATCCCATCCTTCCTGGAAGGGCGTGAGTAGGTAGTGCTTGTCCTCGGTAGGTGACAATTCAAAGAAATGTGAACTTGTGATACGAAATGAAAATTGCCAACAACTTTGTTTACAGTTCAGAAATTAGTTACACAGCATGTCTAATTTTCCCCTCTACTGGGTTTTATGGTTGTGTCTCATTTCAGTCAGCACTACTGGAAGTGTGTAAGAAACGAACAAAGCGAGAACCCATCATTTCTTAACCTGCTTAAAATGTAACTATGGGGACATGAGGGAGAGGGCAGGTGGTGAAAGCCAGTAATTTGGATGAACTGAAGGGATGTATTAGGGTAAAGATCAGATCCTTACATCCTTAATCAGATCTTTAGCTGTTATAAATCAGTATAGCTTCATTGTTTAAATGACATGACTACATTTATTTGGATGTCTAACTCAAGCACTATAATTATTAGGTAGTTTTATGTCAAGATAGCCACGAGCTGTTCACTTTATTTTTTTTTTTTCTCTTTGTTCCCTGTGCTACAGTTGTAGCTTTAGTTATATACCATGATGTGTGCTTTGAATAAGGCTCAGTGGCAGTACAGTGATTGTCATTTTAATTTGCCTCCACTTGGAGATCTAACCAAATAAAACCCTCACTTTTTTTTAATTCGGGAAAAGAACATCCTCCCATCTTTATTATGAAGAAAAAGCCAGGGGAAAAATAAGCAGCCCACTGATTGATTTTATTAATTCATCTTGTCTCTGTGTCAGGGCAAGGAGATGGCTAGGTGGTTTTACCGTCTGTTTTTGTTCATTTGATCACCTGCACCAACACCCTACTGTGGCTCCTGCCCCAGTGTCAGAATAAACCATATTTCTCTGGAAGTTAGAAACCAGCTTAAAGACATGCTCAGTGTAGCTAGTTTGTGGCTTTACTTGTGTTCCATTAGTCTAGGTTCCAAGTAATTTTCTTAATATGATTTAAAAACATGGACTTGATGAGGAACTAAGCCAATTGACAGCAGAGTGTTATGGGAGGCCCAAGAGTGGGTGAGATATGCAAGCCCCTGAAACTGTGGTGAGCCAAAGCACTAAGGTTGCTGAAACTTACTCCAACACTGGAAGCATTTTTACTGCTGTGAAGAGGTGACTTAGAGGTTTGCTTACCAGAGGTGGTAAGCAAACAGCCTGATCCTCCTCTTCCAGCAATGCAAAGGAGGAGGAACTCCAAGTAGGTCAGTGGAATAACACCTGTATAAAAGTAGTGCGGCTTGCAGTCGCTAAACGGTGCCAAGGTTTTACAGCTGGGATTTCCCCAAGTTGTATGTGGCAACTCAGGGGAGTGAATTATTCATGAGTGCTTATACCATAAATCTGCTCTTCTCGTAAAAATTGAATGGCAGAACTTGCAAGAAACTGCAGATCCACGCAGTCAGAAGGGCTCTTTAGATATGGGTTGATCTTACGTACTTTATATTTGCTATTTCAGATTATCCTGGCTACAACGCATACATGTATTTTAAGATGTCTCTGGGATGATACACGCTGAATTTCTGTTCCTAGTAAGAAGATTGCATCACAGACTTTTCCTCTCATTTGCAATTATGGCAACCGTTTCCTTTCCCATGCATGGTCACGTGGCAGCTCTGTAGCCATTGCAGCAATTGCTTACATGAAAAACAGTGCTATTTTTAGCTTCTTGAAAGGCGATTTGGTAGTGAGCGACAAGAAGTAGCCAGCGCCCCAAGGCCGGCCATTTCTGCCATGGCTGTCAGCGGTCTGCAGTCCACAGCTGGCAGTTTGCTGCTGCAGTGTCTCAGAACATCCTTCATGGACATTTCTATGGGATTGCTTCGAAGATCTGATAACTAAGGTGAAAGTTATGCTGTCTGTAACCTCTTGAGGGCACAGTTATGTAGATGGATACAGTGTTCGCTGATAACGCTACGTGCAGTGTTTCCAGCTGGTTTCCTTTGAATGTTTGGAAGACTGAGGCATAGATAATGTAGCTAGAACAGATTGCAAGGATGCCCTATTGAGGGCATGACAGCAGGAAGTGAAGTTTAACAAATCTATGGCAAATTGGAGTCTGTGATTATTTATCTTCTTTTCATTGTGCCATGGCAAGTCAATTCCACTTAAGTGAGGAGACTAGAAATTTGCAGGTAGGTAGCTCAGATATGACATACTAATTTGGCGAATAGTGTCACTCCCTGAATGCAGAGCAATGGTTTTAAGAACAGCAATAATTTTAAGAGCATAATGAACTTAAAGGTTACCCAGTTTTATGAGAGGCAGTGGATCAAGAGACACAAATACTGCAAGGATGGTCAATTTAAAGAGCGTTATGCTGGCAAGGTGAAGCTTTTCATTAAAATGATCAGTGCACAGGAATTATAGATGAAATCTGTACTAACTCAGAGCTGCCTTTGGCTCTGTAGGGCAGCTAAGCCAAGCTCAGGGGGGTATGGGTCCAAGGGCACAGAGCATGAAACAACCTGCTGACTTAGACACCTCTCTGAACCTGACACTTTGGCTCTGATTCAGAGTGGCATGTGAGAAGTCAGCTCTCTCCATGATTACAGGGTAGCCATGTGGGATGTGCTGGTGTCTTTACTAATGATTGTTCATTGATTGTATTCAAGAAATGCACAGGTTTTGCTGGTCTCTTCAGTGAGGGAGCTAAATTTTCAGCAATGCCTTCTCTTTCTCTTGTTATTTCTCTATCTTATTTCTCTTGTGCCTCATGGGAGTGCTAGAACTCCTGAAACTATGGTCCTTGAATCGGTGGGTAGAACATCTGGAGAGCTCTTGAACTGACTAGGGGTGATGAAGGGAGCTTTTGATTATTTGAGAAAAAGGGGAGGCAGATCCTAAGAACTTCTGTCTCAGGAAAAAATGTGGCCTTCTGGAAAAAGCTCTCAGCACCACACAAAATTGCTGCAAAATCCTTTGCCACATGTCCCATGCCAAAAGTGGCCACAATAGTTTCTATCACCCGTAGACTACTCAAGACAAGTGTTTGCTGAGTGCAGAGGGTTGAAGCATGAGTGCTCCATCAAGATAAGGAGAACATTGAGTGTTGGGTGGTGGCTCTGTGTTGTCTGTGGGGAAGTCTTAGAGAAAGCCTTTGAGATATTGGGTTGCAAATCTAGAAGGGAGAGAGATCCAAGGGAGATCTGGAAGTTGTTAGCATATTAATGGCTGAATCTGACTTCTCAGGTGAGACAATCAAAGTCTAAAGTGTAGGTGGCAGAGAAGCTGTCCTTCAAAGAAAATGCCTGGAGAAACGGTTAAAT